TACTTTAGGCATGAATCGCATGTATTTATTGACTTATCTAAATTCTGTACATTCATATTTTGCATAGAATATGTCCTACTTAATACATTTTTAGTTATTTTTCAGTATGTGTAAAAAACTTACGCTTTTACGCTTTGATTCTACGCTTTACGATTTTACCCCTTTTTCACTTCTAGGTAGAATCGCGCTTTTGACTGAATTGGTTTTGTGCAAGTTGCGACTTGTTTGAGTTTGGTGGATTCCAAACTTGTGAGCTTTGTATCGATTGAATATCCTCTTCAATCGTGGTCGAGCAGCTACCCTTTTATACCATACGAGCTTTCCCCAGGTGTGGAATTGTCTGTTGGTTCCGTTTTATCCCAAGTTCGTTTTAAGAGCGCTTCGTTCTTGATTCGAGCTCAATCGATTCTTCGATTGAGTCGTTGCTGCGTTACTTTTGATAAAAATACACCCTCCAGGGTCGTATTAAGTGGTATCAGAGCCCCGTTCTACACAAGGGCGAAGGAGAAGAAGAACCTGATGTTTCGTACAAGCAGTTTTATCGAGTGCCAAAACAGGGCAGCCCCTGTTTGTACTTTGCAGCTGCTGTTTGTGTTTGAATTTTTCGGTTCTACGCCAAGAGATGGTGGAGAGCAGTGTAGAGACAAAGAAAATGCAAATTCGTGTCAATGAGGAGCAGCCAGCAGTCGTCATCAAACATCGTGAGTCCGACGAACAAAGAGATCATCTCTTTCACACACGGTGCAATATCAATGGCAAGTTAGCTTCGTTGGTGATCGATGGAGGGAGTTGCGCGAATTTGATCAGTGAATATGCCGTACAAAAGCTTGAATTGAAAACCCAGAAGCATCCTAAACCGTATCATCTCACCTGGCTCAACGAACATGGAGACGTGAAGGTCAATAAACAAGCACAAATCGAATTCAGCATTGGTAAGTATTCGGATTTTGTGCTTTGTGACGTAGTTCCAATGCAAAACGTCCATATCTTGCTGGGTAGACCTTGGCAATTTGACAGAAGGGTGTTACATGATGGCTGGGAGAATTCATATACATTCAAACACGAAGGCAGGAAGATCAAATTAAAGCATCTATCACCCGATCAAGTTTTTGCCGATTTAAAGCAGATGGAGGAGAATAGGAACGAGGGAAAAAGTGTTCAAGCTCAGTTGTGGGTTCAAAGACGTGTTCAGTTCAATTTCATGAGTTTCAGGAAGCCTCACAAGGAAGAAATCTTGCCTGAACCCACTGCCCAGAATGACCTCTGTTCAGTTTCGGAAAAACAGAGTAGCAAGACGACTCTCGTGGCTGGAGTACTCGAGGAAGATTTGAGGCATGCCGAGAGTGCATACATGTTACCCATAAACCCAGAGACGTCGGGCATAGCATCAACAGAAGCGAGTATCTCCGAAGGTCCAGAATCAATTTTGAACAAATTTCATGTGCTGACGGCGACGATGGAGTAGAGCAAGAGAGAGAACGGATGGGGCGGGCTCACCGGCGATGAGTCGAGCAATACCACCAACACAGACATGACCCCGATGACGTCGAGAATCTTCACCCTGAATTGGTTTACGTCGATTCAAGCCCAATTGCAGAATCGAGATCGACCCGCAACGCCCCTGAACTCGAGTAAAAACGACCAAAAATTGAGAGAATTGGTAGAGGAGATCAGGGCTGAATCGAAAGCATTGGAGGATAAGTACAAGTTCAAAGACGTCCCAGGAAGCTGTCGGAGTTGTCAATTCGACTCTAGAATCCCTATATTAAAAACACCCAAATTTTGTTCCAACTCGCCGGAAACTGGGTTTTGGAAAGTCGGGGGCTTTGAATTGGGGCGAATTGGTTGGATTCGAGGTATAAAAGGGGTTGTGCATAAACCATGGAAGCATGGGAAACCTGCTGGAAGTGATGGCTTGGAGCGAGGTAGCCTCAGCAAGGCAACGCCGGAGTTCGTATTTTCGCCGGTTTCTGGAATTCGCTCGCCGGATTCTGGAATTTTTAAATCCTCCGACGGCCGGAAACGCGGGCGACTCGATTGGGATCGATCCGGGCCAAACCGAAGCTGGGGAATGGTTGGAATCAACTTCTGGGAGTGGTTAGAGTCGATTGTGTGTAATGAATTGGCTCGTGGAGGCCTAGAAGTGAAACGCCCAATTTGGAAGAGCTCGCCGGAGTTCTTCATGTCGCCGGATTCTGGAAATTGGGCGCCGGAAACTGGGAATTTGGGAGAACGAGTTCTGGGTTCGATTTTGCACATTTTTTGCGTGGGGAAGGTCCATTGGAGCCCCACGATGGTGACAAAACTCAAATCGTGGCAAACAGCAGCAAGATCACAATTTGACGATGATTTGAACTTCGAAATTGCAAGTTCAGCGTACCACTTTCGTGACTCGATTTGGGAAGAATTTTGTGACGATTTTGACAAGAAGCAGCTTCAAGCTTTGAGGTCAAAGCTTTTTGAAGAGGGGGAGCCTGATATGATCCCAATTGGATCAATCCACAATTTACAATTACTTGCCAAAGAAATCATCTCAATTAACTTGAAGCATTCTGATTTTTGGTTAAGTGTTGAAACAGTTTCAGGTAGCCTACTTTGGAAGCTTGTATCTCACAAATGGCTTAATGGAAATTGGAGATCAAGGGTTGTTTTGCAGATAAAGTTGCCACGTTTCCAATGGTATACTTTTTCGATCCAAATGATGTCATTAAGGTTGCTTTCCAAGGCCTCAAAGTTGCTACTTCAAAACTGGAAAACTGCCACAAAATGACTAAGGCAGAAAACTGTTTTGAGATACCAACTTTGACGGCCTATATCTGGAGTTTGGAGCATGATCTCAGGCTGATTCAAGTTGGAGGTGAAATAGAAAGTTTTTTTCTACAAAGGAAAGGAATTGGCTGAATTCAAATCAACCTAGAAGACCATTTTGGAAGGGCTCAAAGATGTTATGAAGCCTGTTTTCCTAGGCATACTTGCTTGTGTATTAAGTCAGTTTCTTGGCCAACAAGTTACCTTGTTTTACACGAATTATTTAGCCTTTTTCTGTTCTAATTTGTTTCCTTGTTAGTTTAGAATTGTATTAGGTTTTCTTGGCTATAAATAGCCTTCCATTTACGTTGTAAAAAGGGGAACTCTTTGATTAATCGAAAAACAAACCTTTGGTTTTGTGCAAGTTGCGACTTGTTTGAGTTTGGTGGATTCCAAGCTTGTGAGCTTTGTATCGATTGAATATCCTCTTCAATCGTGGTCGAGCAGCTACCCTTTTATACCATACGAGCTTTCCCCAGGTGTGGAATTGTCCAAGTTCGTTTTAAGAGCGCTTCGTTCTTGATTCGAGCTCAATCGATTCTTCGATTGAGTCGTTGCTGCGTTACTTTTGATAAAAATACACCCTCCAGGGTCGTATTACAGTTTGCTAAAAAAAATCATGTTTATCACTAAAAACATTTAATTCGATTCGTAGTCACTAAAATTAGTTTAATAGTTCAAGTTTAGTCATTCCTCCAACCAATTTCGTTATCTTTATCCTGCGTGCGGCCAACTCTAATAGTTGAACGTTAAAGAAGTGACGTATCAATTAAAAAAATAATATAAAATAAAATATTTTAAAATTTCCATCTCCATATTTCTATGTCACTTTCAACATCTTTTCCCTAATCCAGGACGACAGCAACGGCGACAGCCTCGCCTTCTTCCTCGCCCCTAGGCTCCCGACTTTCCCATGACTTAATCAATGCTAGTGTTGATGTGACTTGAATAAGACTATCAGCCGCTACGACTGGAAGTCACGGGGGGTTCTGGGCCTGGTTGTAACCGCTTTTCTTTTACCATATTGGATTAGGGTTAGGCCTAGGAGAAGTACTACAAATACTTCTCATACTCCTCTGTAATTTGTATCTCCTCGAAGAATAGTGAAACTGACTCTCTCCTGCCCATGGACTAGCTAACACACATTGTGTTAGTGAACCACGTAAATCGTGTGTCGTGTGCTTTTTGTTTTCGTTATTTCTTGCTTTATCGATTCCTTCGGTTTCCCGATACGCAGAAAACCGTCGTGGCAGCTAGCTCCATGGGACTCACCAGTGACGGACAACTACTGAACACGACGATAAACCAATTTGTCCCATTCGACATCTTCAACAATTGCTTTGATCTGGTGCCACCAGGGAGCCACGTCGACATCGACGTATTCGTTGCAAGCTGTGACGAGCGCACCTCAATTGAACGTTGAGGTGACAGGGTATGTAAGGAGCGTTTCGGCCATTCAGCGGCTTAGGCGCTTAGCTACACTGTCTATTTGAGGGATTACCTTCCCTAAGAGGTTGCTTTCAGATTTTTAGGAGCCACCCAAAACCAAAGCGCGATTCACATGATTCACTCTTGGGATTTTGCTTCCACATTGGAAGGAATCGTTCCTCTTGCTAGTGACAATGAGAGTAACCTAGTCCCACCGACGGGAAGAACAAAAGCAGAGTCGATTTGCTGGTGGGTTTGGGTGTTCGAGGGAGGGGGGATGACCACGATGGCGCAGAGCAGTAAGAACTTGATTGCTGGATGATGGTTGAGATCCTGCAGAAAGGGACTGGGCTAAGAAAGTCTATTTTCAAGGAACTGGCAAGGACGACTAACAACTTAACAAGCTTGGGAAAGAAAGGTCTGGTGGGTTTTATCCAGAAAAACAACAACTACGCCGCTGTGAAGAGAGTATCCAAAAGATCGAGACATGAGATTTCATGTTGGAGGTGAAGATCATCATCAGGTTGCAACACATGACTTTTGTTCAGCTCATTGGAAACTTTACAGTTTTATTATTTCTTTAGTTGAACATCACTAATTTAACAGTTAATTATGAGAATTGACCGTCACGTTCACGTAGGAAGAAATGACGAAATTGAACGAAGAGTACCAAAATTGAACTATTAAATTAATTTTAGTGATCAAGATAAAATTAAGTATTTTTAGTGATCAAACATGAATTTTTTTAGTAAACAGTTACCGAACTTGCAATTTACCCCTTCTTTCTGCTACTTCTTTCCTTGTTCCTCTTCTTCTGAATCTCCCTTCTCCTCTCCTCCACTTCTCTTTCTGTTCTACAATTAAGACCTTGATCCCAATTCCTTTCTCTGTAAACTCGCCGGAAAGATCCAGATCGGACACGACCGTTGCATTATCCCCACCGCCGCCAAAAGATGATCTCCAGCTTAGTCGCCAATCTCAGCGCAATCGCCGCCAAGTACCAACACAAGCGACTCCTGCAAACCCTAACCCATCAACAACAGCAAAACCCTCCAGCTCCCCCGTCGAACGCATTTGGGATCACTTCCCGTCCGTCGTCGCATTTGCCCGCCGGAAGCAACCCGTCTTTTGTCAACGGCGTAGCCACCAAGGATCTCCACATCGACCCACTGTCGTCACTCTCCATCCGAATCTTCCTTCCGGACACCGCCGTCTCCTCCGAGTCCGGGATCTGCCCGCGGTACGGTGGGTACTTGCCTCCTCCCGGGAAGCAGTGGCTGCGGCTGAGGAAGCTCCCAGTGGTGTTGCAGTTTCATGGCGGCGGATTTGTGAGCGGGAGCAACGAGTCAGTGGAGAATGATCTGTTCTGCCGGCGGGTGGCTAAGGCTTGGGATTCATTGGTCATCGCCGTGGGCTACAGATTGGCGCCCGAGAGCAAGTACCCTGCCGCGTTTGAGGATGGAGTGAAGGTTTTGAATTGGTTGGTAAAGCAGTCCAATTTGGGAGTTTATGGCCGATTAGGGATTAAGAGTGGCAATTACGATAGTTTTGGCGTTTCCATGGTTGAGCCTTGGTTAGCTGCTCATGGCGATCCTTCAAGGTAACTAACTAGTTAGATTCTTTGCTTGCTTTCTGAATTGTGGAATTTTGGCTCTTCGCTATTGGAAGTGATTTATATGGAATTTCAGTTAGACATTTGTACACTTAGAAAGCTGCCGTAGATCTACATTTTTGTTGAATTCCTTTGCCTAATTTTGGTACTGTTATCAGAACAGGTGTGTGCTCCTTGGGGCAAGTTCAGGAGCAAATGTAGCAAACTATGTTGCCGAGAAGGCGGTGGGGGAAGGGAATCTGCTGAATCCTGTGAAGATAGTGGCACAAGTTCTGATGTACCCTTTTTTCATGGGAACTACACCACCACATTGTGAAGCTAACTACACAACCTCGTACTTTTACGACAAGTCGATGTGTAAGATGGCATGGAAGCTGTTCCTTCCAGAGGTGGGAGAGTTCGACAACCTGGATCATCATTCAGCTGCCAATCCTCTGGTTCCTGGAAAACATTCGCCTCTAAAGCACATGCCACCAACATTGACAATTATTGCAGAGCATGATTTGATGAGGGAGAGGGCAATTGCTTACTCGGAGGAGCTACGGAGGGTCAATGTGGATGCACCGTTGCTAGAGTATAAGAACGTCAGTCATGAATTTGCCACCCTTGGCGTGCTTCTCAAAACGCCACAGGCACAAGCTTGCTTGGAGGATATCGGGATATGGGTCAAGAAGTACATATCGGTTCGTGGCAACGAGCTTTCTTATTGAGAAAGATCACGAGAGCTGAGCGGGGAGGTGCATATCATGAAGAAAAGAAAGTGAGAATTAGCTAACAGAGGATCATTGATTTGCTTGTGCCACAAGGTGGAAAGAGGAAAGAATTTTCAGCCGATCAATTTAGGTTTGATTGGATAAGGGGGAAGAGCTAGATTCCCCTTTGTTATCCCATCTGCTTGTAATGTATAGGTTGGAGAAAGTTTTATCCTTTGTTTTCCCTTGTACAGTAAACAGGCTGCTTTCTTCAAACTCCTTGAATTCTGAGATGGACGGTTTTGCTAAATTGTTGTGTGCATTGTTGTTATTATATTATTTGGGGAGAGCCAATTGACTAGTGTTCTTTTTCACCTTGTTATGATGTGGATGTTCTGTCTTTTTATAGACCAAACAAAGTTCAGCAATTTCTATGCAGAGAGCTACTTCAATTCCGGCTTGCTCAGGGAACTTAGAGAGGAGAATTTGAATAGTCCAAAACTACCTTCCTTGTTCCAGAGATGGCAGTCAAACAAAAACAATACCTTCCCGAACGGCACGACTGAAGATGCCTTCTGCAGGATATTTTCATCATTCGTTCAACCTCTCAGGTAACTTATCCAGCTTAGCATCAGATTGCAAGAACTAAGAAACTCTAGGTGAAGACTGCATGTGTAGTGTTAGCTAGTTGCTGCGAATTTGATTTGGCATGCTCGTCAGAACTTGTACTGGATCGGTTTAGGACGGGTGGGGATGGGGCATATATGTCTTTCTTTCACCCGACGCCTGACCTGCCCTGTTCTTGATCTGTTTTGTTTGAAGTCATCTCTATGTATAATGGTATTTCTTATACTATGACTGCACTTAAATCCCGTTTGAGCTCTTATTAACTGACAATGAGTCCGAATTGCCTCGATCTGTAGACTACTTTTCACTCTATTTCCGAAGCCCTCCCTGTTTTCTGATTAAAAAGAGTGTTTCGTTTTGCCTCGATCTGTAGACTACTTTGACTATGTTTGTGTAATCGAATCAACTGGTAGTCCTGGAAGGTAACATCCTGCAAACGGGATGGAAAGTTGATACATTTATCAACTTCTTATTATCCTTTTCTTTGATTTCTCCATGGTTGTCAAACATGGTTGAAGAGGGCTGGAAAACCTAGGAGAGGGCTGGAAAATGACTGGAATTCTATACCTGTATGGCATATTGTACTATAGTATTATTATTACATCCACCTCGTAGATTGCATGCTCAAGACAAAACTTAGTGCCCGTCGCCACCAGATGATCATCACATCCAGAGGCCTTTGATAATAACATTTAGCTGATAATAAAATGTGGAGAAATTAGATCAAACACAAGGAGGGGAGAGTTTGAATTAATTAAGTTGCTTTTTAGTATTATGTTAATCATTTCCTCCTTTTGCCGGAGACATGAGAAGTATAACAGATAATGTCTTTGTGAAAGGTATAGTCGGATGCTGATGAAAACTACACAGCTGGATCAGAAATTGACAGCTTTGAGATAATGAGGAGTTATTAGAAAATTTCCCCCTTTTTATTCATATTATTCCCTGAGGCTTTGATGGTGACAACAGGATTACTTAGATTGATCTATGCAAAAATAGCACCCTATGCCTGCTTGTACCTAGACAATCATTGTTGTCCCCCCCTTCTCAAGTAGTTTTCACACTGTATTCTCATATTTAGTCCCTCAGCTATGGTTGTCTTAACGAATCGGTCCACTTGTACTATGTTGTCCAGTTCATTCGTTAAACATTCCATCATAATAAGTTATCAACGGAGTTGAACGATAGCTAGTAAGCACTTTCTCCTTATATCACATGTGATGTATGGTATAGGAGTTCGTCGCTGTCATCAAATTCGAAATGACGAATTTGGGAGTCTCGTCGAGAAGGAGAGGGTTTCCTCTTGGAAATTCAATTAGGAGCAAAAGATCTAATGAGTTATCATCATATGGAGCATATAAGCTTCTAGTAACAGATTTGGATTGAATTTTAATGTGCCGGCGAAAAGACGATAAACAAGTATAATACAGTGATGTCTTTGTTTGGAAATCATAATATGTGAATGTGTTTGCTAAAATGACCCATTAACCCAATTTTTAAATATTCCTGAACATTGCAGTTCTCGCCGGCAACAAGAACCAAAAAGATCTCCAGGAGGTGGGAGGGTGTTTAAAGTCTATATATTCTGAAAAGCACCAGAGCTTGACTTCCAGGGGGTTCAGGAAAAAGAAAACCAGTACCATTATTACTGTGTATGATATTTTTTCCCAGGAAGAGATAAAAACCAGGAAATGGTTGCTGCAGATCCTTACATATCATCCAACTTCCCTAATGAAGGAGGAGGAGGAGGTGGTGGTGGTGTCAATTCAAGCGATCTCGACCTGAATCTCTGTCAATTCCCATACTATCCAGCATTCCAGGAGAAACGCGGGCCAGATTACACCTTAGACGAGCCAAGAACTCAGAAGAGGCTGAAGCAGCAAGCTGATGATGGTGGATCCCCAACCGAGACCAACTCTGGCGGGTTCTATGAGGCTAACAGCAGCAGCAACAGCAACAGTAGCTTCAACAGCTTGCCAAAGCTCCAGTTTCGAGACTACGTATGGGCGTATGCAGAGAGGTTCCTGGCGATCGAGGCCATGGAGGAAGCTGATGCAGTGACACTAGCTGTGGAAGAAGAAGAGAGAGTTGAGGTTAAAGAAGAGACAGGTGTTGACGGGATGAAGCTCGTCCAGCAGCTGATCGCCTGTGCGGAAGCCGTCGCATGTCGTGACAAAGCTCACGCGTCGGCGCTGCTCTCCGAGCTGCGAGCCAACGCGCTTGTGTTCGGGACCTCGTTTCAGCGCGTAGCGTCCTGTTTCGTCCAGGGGCTGTCCGACCGCCTAACGCTGGTCCAGCCCCTGGGGACCCATGGGGTCCTAAGTTCTGCACCTGCCAGGGACTTTAGCTCGTCATTTTCGGCCGAAAAGGACGAGGCTTTGACCCTGGCCTACGAGCTTTGCCCGCAAATCCAGTTTGGACATTTCGTGGCAAATGCATCGATCCTCGAAGCCCTTGAGGGAGAGAGTTCAATTCACGTTGTGGACCTTGGGATGACACTAGGCCTCCCTTGCGGCCAGCAATGGCAGAATCTGATGCACAGCATTGCTGGACGCATCAGAAAGTCCTCCGCCGCCCCACGTCTGCGAATCACGGGCGTGGGGCCTGAATCCGATCGTCTGCAGGCGATCGGACTCGAGCTCAGTTGCTATGCTGCCAACCTGGGGCTGAATTTCGAGTTCATGTACATCAGGAGCAGTTTAGAGAGTCTGAAGCCGGAAGATTTCGACGTCCAGGAAGGTGAAGCCGTGGTGATCAACAGCGTCCTCCAGATGCACTGCGTCGTGAAGGAGAGCCGTGGCGCTCTGAACTCGGTCCTTCAGGTCCTGAACGAGCTGTCGCCCAAGGCGTTCATCCTGGTCGAGCAGGACTCGAATCACAACGGTCCCTTCTTCCTGGGGAGGTTCATGGAATCACTGCATTACTACTCGGCCATCTTCGATTCGCTCGACTCGATGCTGCCCAAGTACGACACCAGGAGGGCGAAGATCGAGCAGTTTTACTTCGCGGATGAGATCAAGAACATTGTGAGCTGCGAGGGGCCGGCTAGAGTCGAGAGGCACGAGAGGTCGGATCAGTGGCGCAGAAGGATGAGCCGGGCCGGGTTCCAGGCTTCGCCGTTGAAGATGTTGGCTCAGGCTAAGCAGTGGCTTGGCAAGGCCAAGTTCTGTGACGGGTATACTGCGACCGAGGAGAAAGGTTGCTTGGTTCTTGGTTGGCAATCTAGGCCCATCATTGCAGCTTCTTGCTGGAGGTGTTCCAAGATTTAAAAAGAAAAGTTCAGGTTTTGTTAATTGATTTCTAATAAAAATCACCACCAAAGATTCTGATCAGAATCCCCCCACTCTGCAATTTGTTTACTTTGTGAAATAAGGGTTTTTGCTGTTTTCTGATTCCTGATGAACCAGGGAATCTTAAAGCTTGGGACTTTTAATTGTTTTGATTTTCTATTTTCCTGTTTCTTTTGTTATTACCTCTGTTCCTGTTTAGCCAACTCGCCATAGAAAGAAGAAATCTTTTCTTCCCCTGGTGAAGAAAGAAGTCTTTTTTATTGGCCTTGGGGATTAGCAGGAACTGTGAATTTCTAATTTCATTAATGAAATGAAGCTTTGAGTTTAAATTTTCCAGTTTTGGCAGCTGCAAGAGATTAAACTGGAGGCGAGAGAAGCTGCCACGTGTATGGTGGATATTTAGACTCCCTGTTCTTTTCCTTGTCCGGATAAGATTGCTTTTGTACTCTGTTTGCGGAAGAACCATGTTCAATTAGGACCCGAGGGAAAGAGAGAAAAGGTCCAAACTTTATAGCAGTTCACAGCAGAAATGGAAGTGGGTATGTCACTAAATGCGCTGGTGAGGCTGCCATTATCGAGTTCGTCGAGAACTCAGGAAGATGGATTGGTGAAGCACTCGTTTTTCTCGCCCCAGAGATGCAGGGAGAACCGACGTAGCAGTTCTTTGTTAGTAGTTGAAGCTAAGGGGAAGAGAGGTATGGCGAATCGCCAGTTTCAGCAGAGACCTCCTCCGTTGCCGAAGATTGAAGATGATGGGAATCCCAAGTTCGTCATCTTCATCCGCATGGCCAATGTAATGTTTGTTCCCTTTTCCACTCGCTTCCCTTTTCTGGTAGTTGTAAAAAGTTCAAAACTTCACTCGGTAGAGGAATTGAGTCCCTTTGCAGTTCTGTTCAATCTGAATTTCATCAGTTCATATCATAATGATTACGGAGGGATTTGGTTCATAATTGGAGTTCGGTGTAGTTCATAATTAGAGTAGACTCAAAGACATGCACGCGCTTGTTGAGCCGTGCAAATTTCCTATTGAGTGTGATTGCTCATTTTATTTCGCTCTTCTCTCTTTGTATGCGTTTCCAGAATCCAATTCGGCCTCCTATCCTGCAGTTATATAGAGTTCTGCAGACTGTTCTGTAAAAGTTAGTACTTGGAACGGATGGTGTTTCTAATCTTGCCCTGCATTCTTTGGATGGGACTTCGTCTATGATTGCCTTAACATTCATTGCTTTAAGTTAATTTTCGCTATAAGGCCGAGTGTTTATATTGAGGCTGTTGTTCACTTATTCCCCCAGGTTTACATTTGGTACCCGCTTAGCCTAATAACAGGAGGCACAACAGCTAAAATCATGGTTGCTGCCAAGGACAACTTTCTGGGCAAGTACATCTACAAAGACACGCTTGCTCGAAACATCGCGGCGGTTATCTACCGAGTAAGTTGGTTGATAGCATCTTCTTTCCTTGTAACTTGCTGAAAGATGCCTGCATCTCAGACATGGAGTCATATGTAGTATTATACTAATTCAATCATCATCGTGTTGTTTGGCTTTCTTAGTAATGATTAGTCTCTGAATTAGCCAGCATAGTATTCCAACTTTGGGGAACAGTTCTATGCTTTGTTTTCTCCTTCCAGTTTGATGTCACTTTGGAACCACACTGAAAACAATGTTGCTGTCCTTCGCATCATTCGTTCTGTGCTAAGTTTGGATCCAAACAATGAATGCCATTAGTTTGACATGTTTTGGCCAAAAGCATATGGATAAATGAATATCAGCCTCTTCTGCCGTCTCCTGAAAGATCTTTCATCCTTGTGTTGTTCTGTTTCCAGCATTGGATAAGATTATTGGCTGAGAGTCGGCTGATTCTTGTTTCTAGATATCATACTGACTTGGCAAGTTTTGTGTCCAAAAATAGGATGAGAAGGAAATACAGAAGACTGCAATCAAGCAACATCGTGTGTTACGATCAGCAACCGAGTTCAGATATGGTTACAAACTCATTGTAATGCTCCCCTTCCTTCCTTGCCATCCATAGAACCTTGAAATCCTTTTCAGGCTCTCTTTTCTCCTCACTTTTATACTTTATGACATTTTGCAGGAGAATGGCAACGTAAGAGCTGGTCTTGCAACGAATGATGTTATTGAGGTAGGACTGCTGATTGTACTTTTGGAGCCAGAGAACTCGTCTGAATTCTTCCGGGATATTATCCTTGCCTTTGTCTTATGTGATATGTTGCGTATTTACATGATGATTTTCCCAGCTTCCGACCCCAGACAAACTCAAAACAGTGGTCGACAAAGTGAAAGACTTCTTTGGGGACGCGAAGGAATCATTCGGGAAGCTTACAACGCTAAACTCGACTGAAGGTGAGGAACCGCGACCAGAAGTTACAAAAGGAGAGGAGAAAGCAAAGTGAGTATGCATTTTTCATGCAAATCTTTCATTGATTTGTCACATTTGGAAGTCCACAAATTTCTCTGTAAGTTGGTCACTTCCTGATTGTGCAGAATTAAAGGCTGAAAAACATAAGAGAGAAGTCAGCGCTGAAACTTTGGACAGTTTCTGATCAGTAGTTCATTGCTTCCTCGAGATTTGGGAGAGGCTTTTAAGCAGGAGATCTATGGTGCCATGGTGAGGTTATCAGATAAAACATCAAGTCTTGCTGCATGATTTTGGCTATTGCATGTCTACCTTATCAACCTGTCACACATCAAGTCTAGCCTTCTTTTACACACGTAGCATGGGATGGCATTGAAACATTTTACTGATCTTTCAGAATCTCTGCATGAACCTTAGTGTTTAACATGATTGTCCAATACCGAATTCGAAGGATTCGCAATCGAGCATTTACCTAGCATAACATGACTTATATTAGGTTCTCGAAGATGACACCCTTTCGGGATACGTGACCTAAGTATTGCTTTTTCCCCTGAACTCGTATCCCTCCTTGGACATTGGTACGAGAATGAGCTTAGTCTTCTTCCTTGTAGCAAGCCCGAAAATCTCCCCTAGATCCACGTCCTCGCCCCTGAGGCCATCGGGGAGCGCCCAATCAAAGTGGTACAGCAGCCTTGCCAGCGCAATCTCGACGGTAGCCAGCCCGAAATGGAACCCCGGGCACCCTCTCCTCCCTCCACCAAATGGCAAGAACCTAAACTCCTGATCATGGAAATCGATCCCACTCTCCAAAAACCTTTCGGGGTTGAACTCGAGCGGGTCCTTCCACAGCGTTGGATCCCTGCTGATCGCGTAGCTATTGATGAGAACTCGTGTCCTGGCCGGTATCATGTACCCATCCATAACACAGTCCTCCATGGATTCTCGAGGGACGAGAAGAGGGACGGGAGGGTGCAGTCGCATTGCCTCTTTGATCACGGATTTCATGTAGGTCAAGTGCTGCAGATGGCTCTCATCGACTCGGCTCTTCTTTCCTACAACGCTTCTGATCTCTTGTGTAGCTTCGGCGAGGATCGTTGGATGCCTTGCTAGCTCTGTCATTGTCCATTCTAGCGTTGCAGAGGATGTGTCTGTTCCGGCTACAAACATGTCCTGTCACAATTCCCACGTAGAATTAGCACATTGCTGGTGTCCACTAGCAGTCATTATCGAATCAAAACTTGTGTATCAATCAACTGAAGGACAAAAGAAATGTAACATGTATATTGCTACTTTGTTGATGGATAGACGTAAGCACGTGTTGAATCGTCAAGAATATCACCACATACATCCAATAACGATCAGAATCATAGACTCGGGGGCAATTTGTGCCTTGTGGAACTGTTCTTTCCATGAAGAAAGAGTCGTGCAATTAATTTGATTCTGAGGTCATTTGGTTGGACGTTTCTGCTGCATGCTCTGCTGATGCATGAACATGCAGCCGCTCCACGTTTCTTCAGACTTGTATTTTTCCTTTTCTTCTTCCTCTGTTTCTCCCAAGTCCTAACTCCTATCTATGGTCCAAGCCTTCATAAATGTGAGTAGCTAAGCTAGCTAGTCATTCAATCAAAAGGGAGATTCCTCTTTCTGTACCCTAAAGACAACCAACCAACGAATGTAAGAACCCTACGTTGGTGCTTTTAATGATGCAGTTTCCTACACATTTTGACTTTCGTACTCTCGGGATTAACGTTTGACGTGGGAAGGTTCTGGTAATATGTATGTTGTTTTAGGGAGTTGCTAAAGGTCGCCCTTAAAATTGCTAAAGGTCGCCCTAAAAAGAATCAAAGTTACACTTTTACCCCCTTAGCTTCTTTACCTTCCCTTTATCAAACAAACACCACTTGGACTAAAAAAGCACTATCTAAGGAGAGAAAAATCCATCATCGTCGTTTTGAAGCCGATATCGTCGGAGTCGCGTAAATACATTAACTGAAAAACGAAAAAAAAAAAAAAAGTGAACCGCAAATGACCTGCGGTTGGACCATGGCTGGACCGCAAATGACCTGCGGTTGGACCATGGCCGGACCGCAAATCACCTGCGGTTCAGCCATGGTCCAACCGCAAGTCAATTGCGGTCCACCCATGGTCCAACCGCAAGTCAATTGCGGTCCACCCATGGTACAACCGCAGGTGATTTGCGGTCCGGCCATGGTCCAACCGCAGGTCACTTGCGGTTGGGCATTTTTTGGGTTTTTTTTCGTTGAATAATTTTCTATTTTTTATATGATTTATGATTTTTTCGTTTGAATTATTAATAATGGATTATTAATAATAGAGTACATAAAGTAATTAATTTAAGATTTCCATGTAATCATTATTTACGTTACGTTCTATGTAATCATTATTTACATAAAAGTAAATAATTAATCAAGGTAAAATTATTAATAATTAAGTAGATAAACGAATTACTTTTAAATTTTGATTATTAAAATTTTTAGTTTTTTTATTATGTTCTTTAAATTTGTTATCATTAATTAACATTTATCGAAAATGTTTTTTAAATTTTTATATCATATAACTAATTTTTTATTATTAATAACATTTATTTAAACACAGAATATTAAAAAACAGAATTTAAAAAAAAAACAAATTCGACCGCGGTCAAACCGCGGTTAGACCGACGGTCAACCGCGGTCAACGCGCGGTTGAACCGACGGCTGACCGCGGTTAAAGCGCGGTTTGACCATTGGTCAATCGCCCTTTGACCGCGGTCAGCCGTCGGTTCAACCGCGCGTTGACCGCGGTTGACCGTCGGTCTAACCGCGGTTTGACTGCGGTTGAACTTTTTTTTTTTTTTTACCTTCTTCTTCTCCGGCGCGACTGTGGAGCGCGAGATGGGCGGCGACGGGACGAGGCGGGCGGCGGGACGAGCGGCGATTGGCGGGCGTCGGCGGGACGAGCGGCGACTGGCCGCGGCGGCAACTTGGCGGGCCGGCGGAGGGATGCAGAGGGTCTCCGGCGGCAGGATGCAGAGGGTGTCCGGCGGCGGGATGATTTTGCAGAGGGAGAAGGTGGAAGGGCTGTTTGGTTGGCCTATTTTTTGAATTTTCATTAAGGGTATATAGGTAAATTGAATTGTAAGTTAGGGCGACATTTAGTAATTCTTAGGGCGACATTTAGCGATTCAGTTGTTTTATGAACCTTCCTGAAACCGAAAAAGACGTATCGAGTTGATATCGTGTCGGATTACTCCGTTTCACGATTAATTGTTAGATGTGCGTGAAACATGGCACTGAAAGGCAATGTTGAGACATAAATGGGTTGTCAAGAAAGTAGAGGAGGTAGGATAGGTCATTGGTCAGATATGGTATGAATCGTACATGGATGATAGTTGGAGTCAACGGCTCTCCTAGAGTTCCCTCATCTGGGATCCCGAGGGAAGAGGATCCTGTTGCTCCTTGCGAACAACTCGATGCACTATCTCTCTTCAATCCTTTAGCGAAATGGGGCAACGTGAAGGAAACTGACCTCATCGTATCCATCCCATATGGACTACGAGATCACCTCAATGGCGATTTTGGGTTTGGCACTATGAGACGAAATATTTTACTTATGAAATAGATTCGGTTTATAGCTATGCGAATTATATATTTAAGGTCCAATATTGGGGGGGGGGGGGGAATCAGAGGTTTTCCTTGATTTTTCCGTGTGTCAAGTGTCAACACGCTAATGCACATGTTTTAAGGGTTACGAGCCGTATAATCCAACAATATTAACAAGTATTAATCCTAACCCATATGTTGTTTTAATGGTTGTGACAGAGTACGTACTTACCAGGACCAGAGCTTTGAGATTGTCATCAGTAACAGGGACATCGAGATCCTCCCTTCTCTGAACCTTGAGCAGAACATCAACAAAATCCTCCTCTTCTTCTTCTTGGTCATCACCACAATCCTTCCTCTTCATTAAATGCTCGCCTATGATCTCGTCACAAACTTCCTTCAGGTCCTCCAGATTTCTGGTCAGTCTCTTTTGGTACCCGGTGATCCAACTCGTGACGGTTTCCCACCCCGGGAAGAAATCGTCCAAGCAAAACCCGGCCAGCAGCTCCTGCGTCTCCGTCAACACACCCACCAGCTCCTTCTTCTTCTTCCCTTCCCCGCCGCCCGAAACGAACCTTCTGCCGAACGCCACCCTGCATAGAACGTCGTTGGCTAGTCCGAATAGCAGGCTGCTCACGTCGGTTTCCTTGCCGGAGCTCGCCGCCACGCCGGCCACCATCCTGTCCACTTCTTCCTTCCTCACCTGTACAGAAATGGAACAACACACGTATCAATATAATTAGAAATGCCAATGGGCAGGTTGGGTACAGATCGGTAATTTTATCATGAGTGCGGTGGAAGCAAGTCGATTATAATTTAAAGGCGAAGCATTAAAAATATTTATTATTAATTAAAAAAATTAAGAACCAGACTATAATATGATAAATATAGGTAAATTATTCGAGAAATTGAGGTTCTCAAATATTAACAAATTTATTATAGCTAATATTTGATATAATAATGAAAGTAAAATTATAAGTAATTTTAAATATAATTATATGTAATTTAGGAGAAAATGGGTGAAGTATAAGGCATGTCCTAACAGGTCAGATCGAGTAGAGTATATACCCATTTCCATCCCACTTCGCCGCAAGTCAAACAAATCTGAGTAAAAATGATCGGGTCAAAATTCTCATCCTAATATTAATTATTATACCGTTTTGAGGGAAGCAACTATGATATGTTTATATAATGAAAAAATCGTAAAATGCAAGAATTCCCTCAAAATAACATTTTGTCAGAATTTACCAAAATACTAGAGTTTGGAACAGTTATCTAAGTATCAAGCGAATTGTGTGGTAGTTCACTGGAAAGAGGAGCGATCTACCCTCAAATCGTCTGAATCATGGTTGACCCAAACAAACCAGCCACCGAATAAACATGGGTTGCGGACAACTCAAGCGAACCATTTTCGCGAATTGCACGAATCGTGGCAAACTCAAACGAACCACTCTGGAATGCTGAAGATACCCGCGATCTACACCTAACCTAGGTCCAAACTTTAATATTTTGATTTTTTTTTTTCCGCAAAGTGTTAGTATCGTGAGAATTTACTTTTGAAACTTTTGCATTTTAATATATATATTTTTTACCCATATATAGTAGTGTAGGGGGGTTTGACCTGCTGGGAGGAGTGGACTCGGCGGGGGCTGAGCAACTCGGTGACGCAAATCTTCCTGACTTGGCGCCAGTAGGGCCCGTACGGCGAGAACGTGACGTCTGAGCAGCCGAACGACAGGTACTGCGCCGCCACGAGCTGGGGCCGGTTGGCGAAAACGCCGTCGTTCACCCTGAGGACGTAGCGGGCGAGTTGAGCCGAGGAGACGACCACGGTGGGGACTCGGCCGAGTTGGAGCTTGATTACTGGCGAGCCGAGTCCCGCGGCGAGTCGGGCGAGTTGGTGGTGTGGGAGTTCTCCGGTGAGGAAGAGGAGGTGGAGGTGGCCGATGATGGGAAGACGGCCGGCCGGCGACGGCGGTTCGGGGGCCGTGGAGGTGGCGGGCGATGGCTTCTGGATGAAGTAGTAGATGGATATGAAGATGGTGGCGAGGGAAAGAAAGATGGTGATGAGAGTGTCCATGTTTTTTCTTTGTGTTGGGGGGATGGTGAGGAAATGAGAAGGGAAAGTTGGGGGGTGGAAATGAAATTGAGCTTTGGTCGATCCAAGAGGTTTACGTATATATATATATATCGTTGTGGACTTTTTGCACGGATGGAAGTAGAACATTGATGATGTATCCAAAACTTTTTTGGGTGTTACCAGAAATAATGGTATTTGTGGATATGCTCCCGAATCTAATATAATCAAGGGGTAAAATTCAAACTCGAGGTTTAGGTAAAATTTGATTTCGAATATTGCGGATAATAACTAAGATTTTGATATTCTATTCGATTCTTGTTCGAGTACGGATAAAATTCAAATTGTCTTAGATAGAATATTAATGGATTTCCTAGCTATACTTGAAACAAAATTACTAAAATTACTTTGGCTAAAAATTTGTTTTATTTTGGGTAGGAAAGCAATAAACTATGTCACACATCGCTTGAACGATGATGGGGTGATCACTTGCTTAAGTCTTTCGAGTCTCCACGAGAATCTCCATTAAATGCCTCCAGGAATATCATAGCAGACCTCGATGGAGGTTGAACACGGGATCTGCCACTTCTCGGAACGAGTGCCTACTAAAGGTTTCACTGCTAGACTGTGTGAGTTTTGACAGAGTGAATATAATGTTGATACTCCTTATATTGACGAATGCAAGATTTCACTCAAGGGGATTGGACGTATAAAAATAATTTTACTGATATTTAAATTATATATTATCAATTTATCATAATTGGTCGAGGACATATTTTTATTGTAAGGTTGAGAATTTGACACTAAATTAGTAATTATAAACAACTAGATACACAAATTTATGAAAATTCTAGAATTGTTTATATAATATAATATGCTTACAAACATTCTAGCGAAAATAACTGCAGATACAAATTATTATTGGATCATGCTTGAGCAACACTTTTACTCAAGAAACGAATTGCGAGACTCCACTTACAAGTTACAACTCTCAATTTGCATACAATTTTTTTTTGCTTCATTCCACTCCGGCGAAACTCTTCAGCCAGCCCACCGTTCAGTTCAGGTTCAGCACTTGGGAAGATCGCCGGGCGGCGGCAGAAGCGACTGATTGGGGCCTTTCCCATTGTCCACCAAGAACGCCATCTTCAACCCCCAAGTCGTGTGGATTTCCAGATGGCAATGCATAAACCACACTCCCGGGTTATCAGCCCGGAACCGAATCGCGACCCACCCGCCCGAAGGCACTCCGATGGTGTTCCTCTCCACCGGGTCGACCAGATTGAACTTCTTCGGATCCGATTTAGGGTTGTAGTTTCCGATTCCCCTCCCCACCGCGAAGAAATTGAATCCGTGGAGATGGATTGGGTGGTTCTCGGGGGAGATGATGGCGGTGTCCTGCATCACCAGCTGGACCGTCGAATTGTAACCCAATCTGTAAACCTTCGTCCCTCTCGTGGTCGCCAGGTTCGTCGGTGGGGTTCCCGTGTAGTTGAAGACGTGGGGCGGGTTGGCCGGGAAATCGGTGGTGAAGACGCCGTTGAGGTTGAAGAAGTGGGCTTGTAGCAGGGCCGTGGTGGGCATTACGAAGGTGACGTTATTGATTCCGGCGACCACTCTGCTGCCGTTTCCGGCTTTGCAGCTAGGGCACGGGTTGATTCCCAGCCCGACCGTGAAGAACAGGTTGTGGTCGATTTTTTGAGGGACGGCGGCGGGGAATTTTTGGGAATTGAGGCTTCGGAGTGAGTTTGTGAACTTGTTGGCCACTGCGGTGGCGTTCTGAGGAGGTGGGTTCGTCGGAGTCGTCTGGGCGCTCGACAGGGTGCCGGCGTAGCTGACCGTGGCCGTGGCGGTTCTGTTGTCGACGGCGATTGGAGCGTCCATGAACGGCGAGGCGGCCACCAGGTACTTTCCCGAACTCTGGTCTGCTGAAACCAGGACGTTTGTCGTTTGTCCTGGAGCGATTAGGACTGTGTCGGTTTTGAATGGTTTGACATAGTTGGCGTCGACCTCCACTACTGTGAGTTTGTGGCCCGCAATTTTGAAGAAGAGCTCTTCATTGAGTGCAGCGTTGATTAGCCTTAGCATGTAGGTTTTCCCTGCCTGGAATGGCAGTGTGAAGCCTCCTGGAAATTGAGAGTTTACGTTTCAGAATATGATCGGTTAGAACTGTAGAGATTTTTTGTGCTGAATGTTCTGCAGAAGATACACAAACCTTGCGAGGCGCAGTTGGAAATCGGTCCAGGATGGCCATTGATTGTGTGGGCATCAGAGACATTTGGTGCCAATCCTGATTTTGTGGCTTCATTGATCACAGCTTCCGTGTCTGATTTCCACCATTCACCTGCATTTCACATTCTCGTTTCGTTATTGCACGAGGAACTCTTTCTCCAAGTGACATTGCAGACATTATTGTTTCGTACCTAATACCACAACCACTTCTTTGTGGGGAGCTGGGAATGGGTAAGGAACACCCAGCTTGGGCAAAATGACGATGCCACCATGGACGGTAGCCCTTAGCCAGAGAATGTGTGCGTGCCAAAGAAGCGTTCCTCTTTGCCCTGTGACGGTGAAGTTATATAGATAGCTCTGCCCTGGCTGGATAGGGCATTGTGTGATGTATGCTGGTCCATCTGCCCAACCAGTCCTCAGCTGCCTGATTCCATGCCTGCATAGATATGTTTTGAAAAAGGTAATGCTCCTTATTTATTTTTCCTTAGCGTCAACTTAGCTTCCAGGATTTTGATGATTGTGTTCGCTCAACTTACCAGTGGATGGAAACATTGTAATTGACTTGGTTGACGACTCTCACTAGCACTGTATCATCTTCCCTAGCATATAGGGTTTGCCCCGGGAATCTGCCATTCACTGTAACAATTGGCTTGCTCGAACATAGCCTTGTAGTACTTTTCATAACAACCTGAAAAAGCAACATTAGCAGTTGGATTGCAGTTTTAACGGTAGCTGCTGGTGACTTGAACTTTCTGTGCTTTTCAAGTCTTTCTCAATCTGAAATTGGCCTAAATAACTAACAGTGTCAATGAAAGTAATGGTGAAATGAGTCGAATGACGATGCTTACATTGAAATTGTAGCGACGAACTGCAGAGTCTACCAGAGCTGGAAGGAAGCAGACCAGAACGAGAAGGAAACGAAGAGAGGAACAAGCCATTGGGATGGCTGTCTGTTTCTCGCTTTTGATTTGGTAAGTGACTCCTGGCTTTGGTTCTCTCTACTTTGATGCTTTGCTTTGCTTTGTTCTGAATGGGTTACTCTCCACCGCAAACCTTATAAAGGAGGAGATCAATGGAGGCATGAACAATGTTGCTGCTGCTGCAGTCTGCAGATATGTCGTTGTTGTTCTGTTTGCTCTTATTTTTGCTGTTGATTTTGTCCCTTAAAGATTACTTTAAGTCAGTTGGGGTTTCTTCTTAGAGCAGTGTTTTGAATTTCGGGTAATCTTGGCGGCAAATGATGATTTAGTGGTTGAACTTGGAATTTAGAGTTCGATAATGCAGCTCCAAAACTTGGGTACCCACTGGCTGGCAGGAATGAAGCCACTTCTCCTCTTGGTGTCGGTTCCTTCTGTTGAGATGTCCTAGTACTAGTAGATTACTGGTCATATTACAACGACCACCTAATTTTGAGAAGGGGAAAAAGGTCATTTAATTAGAATATAAATATATAATTCAACTCAATAACATCATTATTTGATTAAAGAAGCAAACAATAATAGGAGATCCAACAACAGTTACTCGATTCATAAACCCTATCAAATTATATGTAAGCTTAAATGTCGATGTTTGTTGTCGAGTTGCTATGTGCAAGTCCATCTTTCTATGTGCAAGCTTCAGAGCCTTGCCTTCCTTGAAATTATTGTCATTTAAATATAAATCATTATTACAGGTAGGGTAGGTAAGGGATCTTGTAAACCTTCGACCGTCCCATTATTTTCGGCATATGGCTTATCGAGACCTATTATTTTCGGTCCTCACCGTGAGGATGACCGTAATAGGTTAACCGCTTAACTGTTGATTAATAATTAGCTAAATTTAGCAACTGAGGACCAACCATTTACGATTTAATCTGTTATTGGTGTAACCATTAATTGTCTGTTCCAATTCGGTTATAAGATACACCAGCAGATAACCTTTTAATAGGCCTAGCTGTTTCTTGGTTTAAGGCCAATTCTCCGAATGGGCAAGTCCAGTCCAACTACTGATGGCGTGGGGAAAACTGGAAAAGACATCAGTGGGCCGTTAGCTCAATGGGCAGTCCAAATTACTTTATCCACTTCCCCCCACAAATTTCCTCAGAGAGCAGCTCCTCACAATCTGTTATTTCTTACATTTCTGGACAGTTCCAGAAGCACCAAAAAACTCTGCCCCTCCCCTGCCAGAAATTTCCAGTCTTTTCTTTCTTGTTCATCTCTAGAAATGTCTATATTCCTCCCTTTATATACCACCGCTCTGCTTCCACCCCTTCGATTACTAGAACATTTATTCCTGTACAAAAAGCTTCCGACTTTGGCTCAAAGTTTTCATCTTTGTGACAAAATGTCTCAAGTCCTGTCAAATTTAGGCCTTTCCTTGCCTTCACCATCGAAATCGAGCTGTAATTCCCTGGTAAACCTGAAGAATTCTGGCAGCTTCAGCATCAAAGCCATGGCGCCAGATGGCAGAGATAATCTTGACCATTTGCAGAGAGTCAATCGCAACAACAAGCAGCAGCAGCAGTCCAGAAGGAAAGTTTCTCCTCCTTCTGCTCCTGTAGGTACGTCAGAAGTTGTTCCTTTCTGTGTCAGTTTATTACTACTGTTGATTCATGCTCAATGATGAGCCTGTCCTCGACGAATCACTTGTCGCGTGACACTTGCAATTTGCAGGGCTATGGGACAGATTTCCGACGGCGAAAACAGTGCAGCAAATGATGGATACAATGGAGAGGCTAGTGGAAGAAGACCCACTACTGTTAGCCTACTCGCCACCACCACAATTGTCAATGGAGGACCTGAGAGGAGGTTACAGTAGGGGGAGAACTCCATGGGAGATCAGAGAAGGCGAGAGCGACTACAAGATGAGGTTCGACATGCCTGGAATGACCAAGTCGGATGTCAGAGTTTGGGTGGAGGACAAGATGTTGGTTGTCAGGGCTAAGAAATCGGCAGCCGGTAAGGATGGAGAAGTAGAGGGAGACAAAGGTGATGATTGGTCTGCTAAGAGCTATGGAAGGTATAGCAGTAGGATTGCTCTGCCTGAGAATGTTGAGTTTGAGAAGATTAAGGCTGAGGTTAAGGATGGGGTGTTGTATATAAGTATCCCCAAGGCTGGTTTGAGCTCCAAGGTTCTTGATATTCATGTTGAGTGATTTTTTTTTTTTTTTTTGTTTTTGTTTTTTGTTTTTTTTTTGTTTTTGTGACGGATGGTTTGTAGAAGGGTTGAAGTGTAATTAAGGTTTTTTGACCCACAATGTCTTACTCCAGCCTACGGTCTGTATCTAGACAGTATATATGGTTCGGTCTGGCTAGACGACTCTGTTTAATAGTAAATCAGTGTTTCGTTAAAGTCATTGAGATTTCATTAATGAATTTTTTTCATACAAACAAACTATAATTATGTACAAAATTTGTTCACTTGGAATGTTTCATAATGGAGTTTAGTATCTTTACCACGTTCCATCTCAAATATAATGTGCTCTTCTTAATCTGAGAAATGGCAATTTTGTCTCTGAACCTTCATTAGATTCAATTTTTTATGCATTTTTTTTAATTATCTGTTGAGTTCATATTTTCATTTTCGAACGATAAATCATTTAATTAATAACATATAATTCATGATGCTTTTTTTAATCTCTCATCAAAATGTACTTTCATACATTTTCGTAATGAAAACAGTTAATTGTCTTCACTACCTATATTTTCCTTAATGAAGACAAAACAGCTAATTGTGGACACAACCCGTTGCTAATTCGTCATTTTAGATTACTTATTCTCTGCACTACCTATATTTTCCTTTTTATATATCTTTCCTTTCCCTTTATATTATTCCCAATTGAATAAATAAATTCATACTTTGTGGACCAAAACAGAAAAGCCAACAGGGTGAAGTAGCGCCTCCCAACGGCATTCTTCAAGATATGGTTTAAATGTCTATATCATCACCGTAATTCGGAGTCTATACCAAAATACCCTTTGTGTTTCCACATGCAACAGTGGTTGAGAAACTTTGATACAGGCCAAATGTGACGGAGCCGAGAAAACTCGTTCAAAGCCATTTTAAGTACAAGATAGTCGTTCAACTAAAACACTTGACAAAACAACTTAGTTAGGTGGTTTGTGAAGAATGAACATATTCTGCACTGTCTCATCTGAAAATTTCATTAGTTCGACCAAATTAACGATTCAAATAAACTTAGTTATATCATCAAAATGGATCGAACAATCCATCAGCTCCATACGTAACCACTCAACCATTCCTTTCAAAACCAACTCAAAACTTCCTTACCTAGGTGAGTGAGGCCCGGTTCACCACGAACTAGAAATGAATGATTTTTATGACGCTTTTAGTTTTGTTTACCAAAATAACCCACACAGTAGACGAGACGAAGTGGAAAGGGATTGAGAAAGGGTGCCTTTTTGTTGAATGTTTATAGTTTAGTGACCATTTTATGACTTAACCCTTAAATAGATCTAATCTAATGAACAAAACTTGGAAACCAGAAATATTGAATGGAATAAAAAAAAAACTAGACGTTAGAGCACGTGGGCCCCACATTTGTAGAGACTGAGAGTGGTTCCCTCCAACCCCAACGTTCATTTTTCTGTGGATTCAGAGCTCGGCAAGTGTTTAATGGCAGTGCCATTGATGGAAAATTAGTCAAATTCGTTACCCTTTTTCTTCTTATTATTATTCACCACAAAGAAACGGCAGAATTCATCATCGTCGTTAGATTTTAATTCCTCACTCGCTCCTCACCTCAGTGAGAGAAGAGAGACTGAGCCTGTAAAGCGAAAAAGCTGCAACCTTTTTTTCAGCCCTACAATCAAGGTTCCCACAAATTCAAAAGTTTGAATCTTCTCAAAGCTATTTGTTTTCGAAGTTTTGAAAAGCACTGTGTGAGGCAGGAAGAAGAAGAGGGAGGAAGAGTGGTGAAAATGGCGGAGTCTGGAGCTTGTCTAATGAGATCCTTCACTCACCCATCCAATTCACTCCGCGAATCTCAAGAGGTTAGATTTGAGTTGGGTTATCTGTTTAATAAAGAGGGTTATGTTCTGTTTCTAGAGTTCTCCCATTGAAATCTGAAAGTTGGGTGCTTGATTTTGCTTCACCCACTTTGCTAGGTCTCGCTTTGAAATTTGAATTGTTTCAGTTTCAGGGGGACACTTTTAGAGCACTGACGGACTCGGTCTCATTTGGGAGATTCATGTCGGAGTCATTAGCTTGGGAGAAATGGTCAACTTTCTCACACAACCGTTACTTGGAGGAAGTTGAGCAGTTCTCCAAACCGGGCTCCGTTGCTCAGAAGAAGGCCTTCTTCGAAGCGCATTACAAGAAGAGAGCCGCCATGAAAGCTGCAGCAGCAGTAGCAGAAGCCACAACTGAACCAGTAGCTGCCCCTGCTGTTGCTAATGAAATCAGTACTGATTGTTCTAGTGATGTGAGGAATTCGGTTTCAGTTGTTTGTCCAGTTGATGATGTGGTTATGGCGATTGAGGAGCAGCAGAATAGTGGAAATGACTCGGAAGAAACAAGTAGCTGTGGTGATGAGAATGTGATGGACAATTCAACAACATCTGTGGAAGAAGATGACCACATGATTGTTAAAGAACCAGAAGTTGAGCTCGATGAGGAACAAAATCAGGCGGAAACTACCCAGCAGGTAGAGAATGCTGATGAGATGAAACAAGTAACGCCAATTATCAAGGTGAAGAAGAGAGCCATTGACCAGCTGTTTTTAATCTTTTGGTGCGTTTGCTTGTCCTGTTCTGTTTTTTCTTAATGAATTGTTTGCTCAACAATCAGGAAGCTGCTGCTGAACTGGAGGATGTGGATATACAAAGTAACAAAAGAAGGAAGAGCTCGGCTTCATCATCGAGTAAAAGTGGAACAACAACTACAATTACTACATCAAGATTCTCAATCTCAAAGTCTGCTGCTAAACAAAAGACAAGTTCATCATCCCAGACGAAAGCTGGAACCAAGAAGACTGTTGGTGTTGGGGAAGAAATGTCAGTTGAGAAGAAGAGAACAGCACCAAAGGCTATCCATATGTCCATAAATTTCGCTTCTAAGTTGTGGGAAACTGGTAAAAGTTCCCTTAGGAAGCCTAGAGAACTTGCAACTGCTCCAAAGAATGCTGCACCAAAGGTAGAGTGAAACAAAGTTCATGCTTCTTTGTTTCTAGCTCATTGATCTCGTCTGTGCTTATGTTGGCTTACGTTAATTCCAGGCATCTGTTCATCAAGACCAATCAAAGCTCCGCGCTTCATCAATGATGGCTAGAGAACTTCCACCTGCTCCAAAGATTGCTGCAACAAAGGTAGAGTGAATAATAGATTATGCTTCTGTGTTTCGAGATCATTTATCTTTATGTACTTACGTTGGCTTACATTGATTCCAGGCATCTGATAACCAATCAAAGCTCCGCGCTTCATCTGTGTTGGCGAGAGACCTTGCAACTGCTCCAAAGAATGCTGCGACAAAGGTAGAGTGAATAATAATAGTTCATGCTTCTGTGTTTCGAGGTCGTTCATCTTTATGTGCTTACCCTGGCTTTACATTGATTCCAGGCATCTGTTAATCATGACCAATCAAAGCTTTCTGCTTCTTCTATGATGGCTACTCGCCAAGCAGATGATAGAAGGTAAGTTCTAAATGTCAACGACCAACCATTCAGCTCTTTGGTCTAATATAAGGGCTAGTTGATTGATTCAGGTCACTTTTTTACAGCAGCAACTCGAAATCTTCTGGTACAAGTGGAAGCAAAGCTCGTCCGCCACTTCTGTCATCTCCTTTCAGCTTCAGGAGTGAAGAAAGAGCTGCCAGAAGAAGAGAGGCAAGATACTTACTACTGAGTCTATGATGGCTGCTTTTATTGATCTCTTGTCAGATTTATGTCAAAAGTTCTGATCTTGGAAGTATCGTTTTCATTGTTTGTAGATTCTGGAAGAGAGAAACAAACTCAAGGAGGCAGAAAAACTGCAGTTGCAAGCAAAATCCAAGGTTTGTTTTGGTTCCTTCTCTTTCTGAACTAAAGCATTGTTTGAGTTGAATTTCCAAGGCATTGACTAATGACTCTTACTTTGACTAATAGGAGAAAAATGAGCATTACATGAGAAGTCTGAGACAAAGTACTACTGCTGCTTTCAGAGCAAGACCAATTGAAGATTCGGGTCCTGGATCACAATCATTCATGAATTCCCACACAAGGAAGGTGGGTTGGTTAACATTCACTTTTTTCACTTCTCGGAACAACAAAATTGTTAACACTTACAAATCAATTTCCTCTCCTGTACATTTCTCAGCTACAGATCCCATTGACGAGACCTCGCTCCCCAAAACTCGGAAGGAAACCATCCCCTGGTGTTTCAATGACTTCGGATAGCTCCAAAAGTGTTGTTCCAAAGAATCGGCCAAGCACAAATCGTTCATCAGTCAGTATACTACCCAAGAGAAAAACGCACGAGAATGCCTCGCCAAACATCCAGCTTTGAATTTGTTGATCTCTCTCACTGCATCAATGGAGTGTTTGCTAGTGAGTGTGCATATGTATTTGTTCTCATTTGTAATTACTCGCTGGGAAGAGAGAAGCAGAAGGTACTTCAATTATACAGCACCAGATTGAAAGTTACTTATATTTGGATATCAGCTGCAGATAAATGAGTTTTGGGACTACTACTATTTTGATTGAGTAAATTGTATTATGCTAAATAGAAGAACTACATCAAATTTCTTCTGGTTTTCCTGTCTAGCATTGTCATATCATCAAAGAAGGCACAGAATGAACAAACACCATAATACATAAAAATCATGGCAATATGCTATTTTTCATCTGGCGTTGCTTTAACAACATAGAATTGGTCGAAGGAAATCCTACTAGAGAGCAGTAAGCTTATTATATACCTCTAGAGGTTTCTCTCATCAACCTTTTATGCCAACTGATGTCAGCATTCAAAAAGGAGAGCATCCAGAGACAAAGTTCATCATGATATAAATAAGCCTTGATCTATTAGCTGACATTCTGTTGGGTCATAGAGATTATTCTCACGATCAAACCTTGTTGCATCAAATAAGTTTATTTGATCTTCATAAACCAGACCCGGGTCTAAGTACTCCGGAAATCCCATGTTTTGGAGTCCTAGACTCGAGCCACCTTGGATCAAAAAGAGTTGCAAGTCCTCGTCCAACACAGGATAAGGCAATAACCCCAAGTTTGGCCCTCTCTGCATGCTCTCAAAGTTAGGAATGCAGCCCAAATCGAGACACTGATTTTTGGCGGTTGAAGAGGTAGTAGCAGGAATCTCATCAACAACTTGGTGCTGACTTGTCGTCGTATGATTCATTGTCTGGATAGCGCTGCTGGAGCTGACTATTTCGCCTGCTTGTATATGCTTGACATTGTTCCACAACTCCCCATGTAAGGGCTCAACTTTCTCAGGTAACCCAATAGCTCCGGAACTAACAGCTGCTGCTGACGATAAACAGTTGAGTTTGATAGGTTGTTGGTGGTGCCTAGGCAATGCTGGCTGCTGCCTGAATCCATTGTCCAAATGCAGAGGTTTCTGTTCTTGTTTCAGCTGAATCTCTGCAGTATGATCACCCCAGGGAAATGGTGTTGAGAATGAAGAATCCAAAGCCGAAAACTTCCCATCTAATTTGGAAGATCGAGAGGGATGGCTAAAATCGATTCTTGATCCTTTGGGCATACGTGTATGAGGAACGTCAACAGTTAAGGTTCTTTGAGGTTCTGCCAGGGCTAAAGAGACAGTTCCCTTTCGGTCTCTGTCATGGCTTCTACTACCCTCCACGTTCACGGTATTGCCAGAAAACCCATAGTTGGCACTCGAAACATCATTCTGCTTCAAGTTGGCCGAGCTTTGGATGCTGAAACTTACAGCGGAATTGCTACAGGCTGAATCTGATGAATGCTTCACCCCACCAACAGATGGCTTCTGATCACTTTCCTTCTGCAGTCTGCTCAAGTAGAGCCGGTATTTCTGTTCACATACTGAAATGAGAACTTCCACACTAGTCCAAAATATTAGGAATATCAAGCTAGTATATATGAAGTATACCTGCAAATGACTTGCAACATTTTCCCTAGTCAACCATGGCACATTCATCAAGTCGAGGATTTTCTTCGGGCCAACTTCTGCCAAACAGACGTATTACATGTCATGGCTCTGTAGAAAGCATGATAAAGTTGAAAGAGGCTATATCATTGGAAGCTTCATAACGACAAAGAAACAAGAAACTAAACCAAGAAATTTTTTCATGTGGTTAAAGCAAACACACTTACTGTCATATCCTATTTGATTCACAGCCCTGACAAATTTCTGATGCAGGTCAACAGACCAAACTACTCTAGCTTTTTTGTTAGAGGAAGTATCCCCCAGGTCTTTGTCGTCTTTTCTCTTCCTCATCGAGGAGAGATCATCTCCACAGAATAAGTAAGCATCTTCCGATTGATCCGAACCATTTATAGATGACATTTGAATGCTCTCGATCCCTTCGAGACTCTCGATGTCTCTTACCTCGTGTAACCTTTTGCGAAGCACGTGCTGCCAGATGTTCCTCAGTTCTTTCATTCTTATGGGCTTCAGGAGATAATCGCATGCTCCATGTTGAACACCTTTCATCACTCGACTTGTTTCTCCATCAACCGACATCACTGTGAAGAAACAACACACAGAAGCCCTGGGTCAAGTTGTAGATAATGAATGGAGTAGGGTACAAGTAAATGGGACGAGATAGGGGAACTGACTGATCACGGGAAGATCCATCTCAAGGCCGACGTGTTCTAGAAGTTTGAAGCCATCCATGTCAGGCATGTTCACATCGCTGATTACAATGTCATATCCATCTTTCCTCTCGCGAAGCTTGAGGAGTGCGTCTCTTGCTAAGCCACAGGTGGTGACTAAAAAGGGCATATAACAAAAAACCAAATGAATGTCAGCCTGGGATTTAGTTTCATCTACCTATCAAGCAGTTATTCTTTTCTTGATCTTGAAATCCAATCCAGTGAAGAGAGCTCAAGGAGGGAGATTGAAAATCAAACTCCTAGGACATGTCACTTATTTCTGGTAGTTTAATACTAATAAAAAACATGAAGTTCAGACTTGGATCACAAGGACCATTCTCCAGCCATCAGTGTGGACTTCAACTGCAGAATCCCAAACAGACTTTTTTTTTTAAGTCTTGAACAGCTTCTATGATGATTCTAAATCACAAAAGCATGCCAGCTCCAATAATAGTCATCATAGCTCCCCTCAATAATTCATCTAGAATCAGAAAGACGATCATTCCCTTAGAGAGCCTGATAGGAAGAGACTTACTCCTTAGGAAGTGAACCAAGTAGAAAAGTAACCAATTTGCCAAGAAGAAAGTTCACTTCTCACTGGCTTCACTTCTCGATTGACTCCAATCTCAAACTTTAACCATTAAATGCCTAGACTTTCTATACTACCTTCAAAACAGTTCACACACATGACATGCTTATTGGAAAGATTTCATTTTCAAGGACAGAAAAATAGAAAAGCAGCAAACTTTGAACTTCCATGGCTACTATCACCCAAGTAGAAAAAGAAGCCACCAAGACTCCAAGAGAGAACCCACATAGCAGAAACTCCCAAAACAGAGACAACACCTATTAAAAGCCAAGAAAGAATAGAACTTTAACGAGAGTAGGAAAACAGCGCTGGTCCAGAAACCAGAGCAAAAGAGCTGAACCTTCATAGGAGCATTTCTTGAGCATCTTCTCAAGGATTTTGAGCCATGTAGGATCATCATCAACAACCAGAACTCGAAGGCCGGCAGGGAAAGCCTCGGTTCTGGGAGAAGAGAAGCCATTCTCCATCATTGAACCCCCTGACAAAAAAAGAAGGACAAAAGGGAAGATCACTCTCTCTCCCTCTCTAAGGAACAGATAGACAAGGAGAAATTCTGGGAAAGGGAAAGGATGTTTGTGGGGGTGGCTTTTTAAAGCATTGAAAGCAAAGGAAAGGGAAGGCAGAGAATTTCTTCTGGGTTTGTCATTGTGTGGAGTGAGGGGATTGGAAGGTCTTACTATGTCTTTGAAGCTTAGAGATCAGGAAAAAAGGGATAGAAAAAGAAAGAAAGCAGCGGAAAGCAGGAAAACACTGACCAAATTTTTTGGGGGAAAGGAGGAAAAGGGGAAAAGGGTGAAGGAAGGAAGGAAAGAAAGACGAATACTTTGGCGCCGGCTTGGAGCTTAGAAGAGGGGAACCGAATAAGAAATTGGCTCCATGAATCACTGTGGCAGGCAGTGCAAGTTAGCCAAGTAGCCCACCTCTGGTTCTGTTTAGGCCTTATTGGCCAGTTTGGCATTTTGTTCTTTTCCATCTTTTGGGTTTCTTTCATTCTTTTCCTTCTGTTTTCTTTCCCTAAATGGAACGCCCCTGTTGTCTCTTTTCTTATTCTCCATTGAAGTACCACCAACTCAACTGATATGAATGAATGATTTAATAGTGATCCCAGTCTGCAGTGCGTTTGGTGGAGCTGTGAGCTAGAGGACATTGATTGAAGTACGACACAAACACTCCATGATTACACAGCCAAAACTAAGAAGTACACACACCGCTGTCTTATAAATCCTGAAGTGGTATCCTAGTATATTGTCGACTTGACAAAATGTTGTTGGCATAAAAATTTAGAGAAGCCGAGGAACAGTGGGTTCTGACGATGTAAATATATTCCAAGTCTTAACTATTTTATCATAAAGATAACTAAGAGATGTAAATGTGATGTTACAGTATGTAATGTTGAGCGAGAAGAAAACTCAGGATTTCGCCACAATCTCATATAATGTGAGATTTTTGACAAAATAATTCGTTTGGATGGATAAAAGATTTGGACATAAGAAATTTTAAAAATATGCAAAGTGTGAATTTTTTTTTAATATATGTACATCCTTCAACTATTTCAAAATCTCTAACTCACTATTATTTTCTTCCAATTACGTAGCTCTAAATTTTATTAAACCCCCAAAATACCCTATTAATCATTCGTCTCTCTTCAACTCTTTATCATTTCCTTCGACTAATCTCCCTCTCCTTCTCTCTTCATCTCTGGCCTCTCCTCCGATTAATAGGTTTCTGAGTTTTTTTAACTGAACAGACATCAACAACTATTTGTAACTCATTGGTACTCGTCCCCCAATTTTAAAAAAATTTAGTGGTAATTGATGCAGATCCGATCCGGAATCAATTTTGCATAACCATCAATAATCACCATCAACCATCCATGAGAGACCTGTAACTTTACCCTTCATTAATTCTAATGGGCTATATCACGTTCGTTTTAAGTCATAATTTAATTTTTTGCACAAAAAAACAAATTAATTGTATTATTCAAAATTATATTCACTTTAACATATTTTTTAACAAAAAAAATTAAAATATATGTTACCGGTCTATATCATGGTGGAAAGTTTGGTAGTGCATAAGATTATACAATAGTGATATGGATATATCATAGTGTAGAATGGTTGTATACATTATAGCAAAGTTCAAGTAGATGTAATTCCGCGTACGACTAGGCACTGGGCAGTGACAAAATGCCTCGCCTCGGCCCTAGGCAGACAATTAGTGTTCGTAACGCCTAAACGATGCTTAGGAAAATTGTGGCCAATCTTCCCAAAACAACACAATCTCTAGATGTCCTATATTCAACCCACCCTTCACTCATCCTCGATTTGAAATTGCAATTCGAGGTCATGACATCTTTTCATTACTATTGAGGGTTAGCTAAGTTATTAATCATTTGAAACTTAAATAACGTAAAAACGTGTTGTAAAATTTTATTTCTACTAAAACCCGCTACATTTGCTAAAATGTCTACGCATCGCCTAGACATCGCTTAAGTGTGCTAGGGGCTAGGTAGTGCCCCAACACTTGTCTAGCGCCGTCTTGAACCATCTTTGATCACTGATAGACCGCCATTTACACATGTTTTTACCCTCGTTCTTACACCGTTTGAGGTGTTGATTCTCGTGTTTTAGGCCGATTTCACGCTAGGTTGTGCTTGTTTGTGATATTTCAGGTCCTAGTGCGTGAATGAAGGCTTAGGGGCGAGTCTGGGGCCGATTGGACGAAGATCGGACGAATGGCGAGGTTTCAAGGAAGCTGCACGGGCAGACCAGGGCACCGCACGGCCGTGCACGTGAGCAAGATGGTCGTGCGCTTTATGCCGAGGCCACGCACGGGCAACCCCTGAAGATCGCATGGCCGTGCACCTTGGCCGTGCGAGAAGCCTGAGGTCGAACTAATTGATACGCCGCGTGTTGGAGCCGCACGGCCAAGTGGGTGATCTGCACGGCCGTGCACCCTGGCCGTGCGAGTCGGGAATTCCTGGTTTTAGAGCCTATTCCGAGCCAAAAGAGAGAGAATCGTGTTTTCAGAGCAAAAACAGAGCCCTAGAGAGAGAAAGTGCGAAGAACACATCCTAAAAGCTGTCTTAGAACTGGATTTCTTCGAATCGAGCTTGGGATCGTCATAGGAGTGGAAATCATCGTCCTGGAGCAGATTTTCCTCATCGTTATGAGTATGACTAATCCGATTCTTGTTTTCTCTTCTCTCTCTATGGAGTAGAACCCTTCTCTCACTTGGGTATGAAGAACCCTAGTTCCTTGTGTTAGGGATTTGATTGTAATGACTTGGGATGATATTACTGTTTGATTTTAATCGAATGACGCATGTTTATTGAATTGATTGGAGTCTGATCAGCTTTTCTCAATTTCTGCTGCAACCTGAGATAGATAGAATCTGATTAGGTTGTTAGAGTCTCTTCATTCGATAGTAGGAGATTGGCTATACGAGAGTTAGCCAGTTTACTGCTTTGTACTGGAATTCAATTCCAGTAGTGGAGTTCTGTGTTCATAGCCTCAGCTTTCTTTCCCGGTGAAGACTAGTCGTCTGCCGGGTAGTTAGACTGAGAGGGCTTGGTCAGCTTAAGAGATTCCAAGCTACTGTCGGATCTTCCGCAGTCTAATCAACAGTAAATCAACCCAGGGAATTACAATTGAACCTAACTAGGGAATTAGGGGGACTCAATCCCGAGTGACTCTTTCCTGACTTTGAAAACCGAACAATTTACTACTTTCTTGTTGCTTTTACTTTTCACAACAATCACTCGAACTAGTTTGCTAGATAATAGAGAATCACGGAGTAAGCAGTAGATCTAGACCCCGGGTTGATAATTTAACTTGCCTGTTACTGCATTCCCGGACTGCGATTACACTTGGTCGCAGTTTGGTGTTGTGTTTTGGCGTGTCAAGTTTTTGGCGCCGTTGTCGGGGAGGAACGGTGTTCAATGGGTCGATGGGTTTCCAGAACCTCCGATCCCCGCGGAGCCCGTACCAGAGGCCCAGCCAGAGGGCCAGGAGGAGGAGGCTGCTGATGAGGTGGATCCCGAGGAGGTGGATGTTGCTGCTGCTGCTGCTGATGCTCCACCACAGACTGACTTCCATTACGGGGGTAGCAGCTCCGCTTTCCAGGGCCAGGATTACTTCGCCCATCAGTTCGAGCAGCTGAGGATCCAGAACCAGCTGATCCTCGACCAGCAGATGCAGTTCCATCAGCAGTACGCGGCAGACCAGGCCGAGTACCGGAACAGGATGGATGCTTATGACGAGCGGCTGAACATGATCCAGACTCAGCAGGGCGTGACTCTCGCCCACATCGAGCGAGAGAAGCGCCGTTCACGGCGCATGCAGGAGGTTCAGCAGCACCTGCTCCAGCTGTCCCGGGCGAGCAGCCTGTCTGGAGGACTCCCTGGGATGACTCCCCTCCACATGCCCCAGCTGACGGTGATGACAGTGCTGCTGGCGCTGCTGATGATGATGCGTTCATGAACGACATCGACCTCGACGATCTTGGCGACGAGTAGGCTGTACTCGTTGCCCGTCTCAGTGTGTTTTCTTTTTCGTTTTAGACTTTTGTGTGTTTGCTCCATGTGTGCGGAGCTTGAACTCAGTGTCATTTGTTTTTGTTTTTGGTTTTCCCTTGTGGTTTGTTTTTTATGTAGCCGTCTGGGCTAACACTTATCCCTAACGCACAATGTGCTAGTGTGTTTCTGGTGTTCGATTTGTGCAGCATCGTCCACTCTCCCGTTTGTGTCTCGCTGACTGGTCCACTTCCAGTCCCCCCGCAGTGTTCGTGTCCGGTAACATCGTTCCCCTTATCTTTCCCTCTACTCCATTGAGGGCAATGTCGTGCTTAAGTGTGGGGGGGGTGTTTTGTATCGGTTGGAATATTTATTTGGGTGCTTGGAGCCTAGTCCGCTGTCCGAATCTTACGATTTGAGGGCTCCAAGTACTGCTGTTTGATCATATTGGCACTGTGTTTTGATGGATGAATTGATTGGTTTTCGAATTAATGCATGACAACTTGTTTGCGACTAGGACAACCTATGATGAGGACTGAGATGTGCAGTAGAACGATGTAGGGGTTTAGTTTTTCAACTGTTTGCTTGCCAACTGTGACTTGGTTTGATTACTTGTTCTTGACAGTCGTTTATGCATCTAGTTCAGGGTATCAGAATGTGAGATAGAGCATATAGGTAGCCATGTGAGATTTGAGCCTGCTCGTTTCTTTCTTGTGCAATAGATCCCTCTTCCATGATGTGTAGCATTCACGTTGTCACTAGCTAAGATGATGGGGGCATAGGATTAGCCCACGCCCAAAAACTGACTGTTCTGATGTGTCATATCCCCTAGTCAGCCCCTTTGAGCCGCGTGTTATCCTTTCTTTTGGTCCATAACGAAAAATTCACCCTTGTTGCATCTTTTAGAAGGTTCCACAGAGTGGTTTTTACATATTCTCTGCTGTTTCTGCTAAAGTCTATGTGAGTGTTGGAGGTAGTACTTGAAAGTTGGGCAGGTGTTTGAAATTTATGCAGAAGTGGTGGCCCTCTTAAGAAATGAAAAGAAAAATGAAAGAAAAACAAAGAAAAATTGAAAGCAAAAGAGAGCCACTACCAAAAAAAATCTGAACAATGCCCATTAAGTAGTGTTTCTTAGCAGTCTGGCTTGGAAATGCTGATGTTTATGCCTCCTTCGCTCTTGTGCTCTTGAGATATTGAGTAATGCAGAATAGCAGAAAGAAAATACCGGTTTGTTTGACTGTGATTGTGTGTT